CCCCGAATATCGTAAGCCCCCACTCTAAACCTTACTAGTGTTCGTGGCCCTAAACCCCTAAGCCCCTAAACCCAAAACCCTAAAAACTAAGCCCTAAACCCTACACCGTACACCCTAAACCCTAAACCCTAAACCCTGAACCCTCCGGTGGTTTCACTTTGGTAGGGTGCGCGCTCTTAGCCTTCTTCGGGGTCAGCCAACACCTCCTGATGAGTTCGGCATTGCAACGACCCTCCAAAAACGCCGAAGCTCCAAACCCCTACAAACGCTGAAGCCCGAAAACCGTTCTCAACCCTAAACCCTAAACCCTAAACCCTATATAAACCCTAAACCCTATATAAACCCTAAACCCTAAACCCTATGAACCCTATATAAACCCTAAACCCTATAAACCCTTCTATAAACCCTAAACCCTATACACCGCGAGCCCTTTAAACCTAAACCCCTGAACCATAAGCCGCTGAACCCTAAAGCCCATTAACGATTTGGTTCTTCTAAGGACACTCGACCCTAAACCCGAGCCCTAAGCCCTAAGCCCTAAACCCTAAACCCTAAACCCTAAACCCTAAACCCTAAACCCTCGCCTCTAAGGACACGGGATCCCAGACTCAGACTCAGACTAGCGGGGGCTGCCGCAACAACTCCTGCGTTGTGAGCTGACCATGGTTTATCGGGCTTTCGGGTTCATAGGGTTTTTAGGGTTTATAGGGCTTATGGGGTTTGTAGGGTTTATAGGGTTTGTAGGGTTTATGGGGTTTGTGGGGTTTATGGGGTTTATGGGGTTTGTAGGGTTTATAGGGTTCGTAGGGTTTGCAAGGCTTATAGGGTTCATGGATTTAGGGCCAGCGCTTGTAGGGTTCATTTTGGGTTTGTAGGGTTTTTAGGGTTTAGAGGGTTTGTGGGGGCTTACAGGGCTTGCAGGGTTTTTTCGGGTTTGTAGGGTTTCTACAGTAGGGTTTTAAGGGTTTTGTAGGGTTTACAGGGCATAGTCTGAGGGGGGTTCTTAAGCAACTAGTATTCTGACCCTACGTCACACGAGAAGTCCGAAATCTGAAGCCCGGAGCAGAGATGTTAGGGAGATTAGGGTTTAGGGTGTAGGGTGTAGGGTTTAGGCTTTTGGGTTTAGGGTTCCCTTGGGGAGATTTACCCTGGGCCGAAAGAGTCTCAGGAATGTTTCACCGGCGACAAATGGCAATGGGTAGTATGGTGTAGGGGGTTAGGGATGTTCCCCCTTATACTAACAGGCCTTAATAGGGGTTGAAGTACCCCTTATTATAATCCCTATGAAGGACAGTTAGATCAGGGGGAGCATCTCAAGGTCTCGTAGATGCTTTTAAAGGTTGTTTATGGTTTAGGGTCGCAGTTCTGTGGGTGTCTGCGTTAGTTTTGGGTTCCTTCAAGATGTTGCACCACGCAGCTTGCATGCAGCGGCCCTTTGATTCCCTCCAGTTCGGGCGTGTTTTGAGATCAGCTTGAAGATTGCTGAGTAGCTGAATGGGTACACTTTATGAACTCAGCATGGGGTTTTCCGGAGTCATCGGAGTTCGAGTTGTAGACGTAGGGCTTTCAATTTCAGACAAGAAGTAAAGGCGTGTGAGGTCCAGCGTGCAACGAACCGAAAGAGCCCAACATAGCTTAATTAAGGAATATACCTTAAATCATATTAAGGATCCTTATATTATGATTTACGGAATTTTCCTTAATTAAGCTATATTGGGCTCTTTGAGAAGCTTCACACGTCAACTGTTAAGGAGCAACGGGCGCATGCAGAATCTCAGCAAAGGGCAGCGCAGGCTAAAAGCGCCCACTCTGCCATTCTCCCGGCGAGGCCAGCAGTAAACCCTCTTGCCCGAATACCAACCCTACACTAGACCCTAAACCCTGCGCTAAAACCCTACACCCTACACCCTAAACCCTAAACCCTAAAACCTGAGCCCAAACCCTAAACCCTAAACCCGAAGCAAAGACTGGACCTGGACCCGCAACAAACCCCCCCCATCCCTACTTTGAGGAGTTCAGGGTGTATGGGGTTTAGGGTTTAGGGTTTAGGGTTTAGGGTTTAGGGTTTAGGGTTTAGGGTTTAGGGTTTAGGGTTTTCGGGTACTTAGAAAGAACATAGCCACCACACCCAGCTGGCCTCTCCAGTCCGGCCCCTCTCACCTGAGACCTGGCCTCCTCAGCGAAACATCCGCGGTCGGCTCTTTGTTGTTGCTGGGGTTTAGGGTTTAGGGTTTAGGGTTTAGGGTTTAGGGTTTAGGGTTTAGGGTTTAGGGTTTAGGGTTTAGGGTTTAGGGTTTAGGGTTTAGGGTTTATGAACCCCATATACTGGCAGGTTCACAGGTAGTTATAAGTAGGGTTATAAGTCTGGTAACTAGACTTAGAACACTGTTTAGGGTACTTATAAACACTACGTCTAGCTATCAACCTCCACCCTATGAATTCGAAAGGGTTTAGGATTTTGGGCCAAGGCACCCTTTCCCCCCTTCTTTTCGCAACGTTGTGGGATCCCTTCTCCGCCAAGGAAAGCGGACAAATCTCCTAGGACAGCCCTGAATCTTGAACTCTCAAACTAGGGTTTAGGGTTTTGGGTTTAGGGTTTAGGGTTTAGGGGTTCGGGGTTTAGGGTTTAGGGTCTAAAAGGTTTAGGGTTTAGGGTTGGGGAGGCACATTCTAGACCTTCATCCCTAAACCCTAATTGTTGTTTAGCGTTTGGGGCTAAACCCCCTAAAAACGACCCCAAGAGCCCCAAACACTAAACACCAAACCCTAAACCCTAAACCCTCAACCTCCTAAGAACCCTTGAGCCTTAACGACCCCTTAAAAACCAAACCCTAAACCCTAAACCCTAAACCCTAAACCCTAAACCCTAAACCCTAAACCCCCGTTTTGAAAGGACCAGAAGAACCCCAAGCCCTAGTTTCGATTGAAAGGGGAGGCACAGGGGGACTCCAGGAGCTGGGGGTTTAGGGTTTAGGGTTTAGGGTTAGGGTTTAGGGATAATCGAGAATTTAGGGCTTCAGGGTTTGGGTACGGGACGCCTAGAAAGTTGCTGCAGCCCTCAGGCCCTCTTCCGCCCTAAACCCTAAACCCTAAACCCTAAACCCTAAACCCTAAACCCTAAACCCTAAACCTCCTAAGAACCCTTGAGCCTTAACGACACCTAAAAAAACTCAACCCTAAACCCTAAACCCTAAACCCTAAACCCTAAACCCTAAACCCTAAACCCCCGTCCCGAAAGGACCAGAAGAACCCCAAGCCCTAGTTTCGATTGAGAGGGGAGGCACAGGGGGACTCCAGGGTTTAGGGTTTAGGGTTAGGGTTTAGGGTTTAGGGTTTAGGGTTAGGGTTTAGGGATAATCGAGAATTTAGGGCTTCAGGGTTTGGGTACGGGACGCCTAGAAAGTTGCTGCAGCCCTCAGGCCCTCTTCCGCCCTAAACCCTAAACCCTAAACCCTAAACCCTAAACCCTAAACCCTAAACCCTAAACCCTAAACCCTAAACCTCCTAAGAACCCTTGAGCCTTAACGACACCTAAAAAAACCCTAAACCCTAAACCCTAAACCCTAAACCCTAAACCCTAAACCCTAAACCCCCGTTTTGAAAGGACCAGAAGAACCCCAAGCCCTAGTTTCGATTGAGAGGGGAGGCACAGGGGGACTCCAGGAGCTGGGGGTTTAGGGTTTAGGGTTTAGGGTTTAGGGTTTAGGGTTTAGGGTTTAGGGTTTAGGGTTAGGGTTTAGGGATAATCGAGAATTTGGGGCTTCAGGGTTTGGGTATGGGGCGCCTAGAAAGTTGCTGCAGCCCTCAAGCCCTCTTCCGCCCTAAACCCTAAGCCCTAAACCCTAAACCCTAAGCCCTAAACCCTAAACCCTAAACCCTAAACCGTAAACCCTAAACTGGCACCTGCTTTCCACGGGCTCGAAAGGACCCCCACCCCTGAAGCAATGACCCGCGGTCCCAACGTCAACCGACGGCGGTCCCTTGGATTTAGTGTAGGGTTTAGAATAAGGCTTAGGGTGGAGTTTAGAGTTTAGGGTTTAGGGTGGGCTTGGGGTGGAGTGTAGAGTTTAGGGTTTAGGGATTTAGGGTTGGCTTAGGGTGGAGTTTAGAGTTTAGGGTTTACAGTTTATAGGGTTGAAGGTTTAGGGTGGAGTCTAGAGTTTAGGGTTTAGGGGGTTTAGGGTTTAAGGTTTAGGGTGGAGTTTAGAGTTTAGGGGTTTAGGGTTTACAGTTTACAGGGTTTAAGGTTTAGGGTGGAGTTTAGAGTTTAGGGTTTAGGGTTTTAAGGTTTAGGGTGGAGTTTAGGGTTTAAGGTTTATGGGTTTAGGGTGGAGTTTTGAATTTAGGGTTTGGGGTTTATCGGTTTAGGGGTTTAGGGTGTAGGGTTAGTGATTTATAAGGTCGAGGGTTTGGGGGTTCAGGCGTGTTAGGGCTACCAACAAAAGGTTCGTAAACCTTAAAGCCCGAAAGCCCTAAAGCCCTAAGACCCCAAACCCTATAAGTCCCCAAACCCTTGGCAAGGGGGTTCGGGAAACCCTAAACCCCAGACACGAAACCCTAAACCCTAAACCCTACGCCTCACAACAGTCCTTTCTGAAACCCTAAGCCCTAAACCCTAAACCCTGATCCGCTGAAAGCCTCAGACTCTTGTTGACCCATCTTGGGGCGTAGGCCCCGTCGTTTAGGGTTTGGGGTTTGGGGTTTGGGGTTTGGGGTTTGGGGTTTGGGGTTTAGGGTTTGGGGTTTGGGGTTTGGGGTTTAGGGTTTAGGGTTTAGACTGAGGTCCCTCATGGCCGGTGCCCTTGGCCCGGTCAAGCGCGGCGTGACTTGCAGCAGCTGAAGCCTGGCTGAAGTAATGGCTTTGGGTTTAGGGTTTAGGGTTTACCTGGAGATGCCGAGGAGGCTAAAATATCTGTTTTTTTGAAGATAACCGTTTTTTCGCGTCCGAGAACGAAAATTTCTGTTCTCGAGCGTTTTTCGGGACTATTGCAGAATGAGACATGGGCTCATGTTTGGTGACGGCGCTCTTTGCCGACCGAAACGCGCTCTTTCCCGGCCGAAACGCGCTTTTTGCCGACCGCTGCTTTGCCACGCTTTGCCCAAACATGGCACGAGCACTTTTTTCATCGAAGAACGAATTTCCTGAGCAGCGACTTAAATTCATGCTTTTCCAACCAACGACTAATATTTTAGTCCCCTGGAGGGTCCAGGTAGGGTTTAGGGTTTAGGGTTTAGGGTTTAGGGTTTAGGGTTCAGGTTTTTAAGGGGTGCCCTTAGGGTTTAGCATTCAGGGTTTGGTTTTTTTCAGCAGTTAGGGCTTCTGGGTTTAACTAGGGTGTAGGGCGTTTTGGATTTTTGGGGTCAGGGTTGATATAGCTTGTTTTTTGTCTAATAGCGTTTTGCGATGTAGGGCGTTTTGTGATTTAGGGGTTTGGGTTTATGTATATGCAAGCGGGGGGTAAACCGCACAAGGTATTTCAGCATTGTTCAGGTTGTTGTGAAGCACGTTCTCACTGTCCTTTCTTCCGTTTTCAGCGTTGTTCAGGTTGTTCTTTTGCGTGAAGGTTCGTCAGGGTCCGTATCCCAGCATCCTTGTGCACACCGGCACTGTGGATGCCATTTGGCAGCAGATCAAGTCGTGGCTGCCCAATGGGATTCGCACGTGTACAAACGGCCGGCCCAACCCAGTCATCATGCAGTATGTCCGGCAGTGGCAGTGGCGATTCCAGACACGGCAGAAGTTGCTTGAAGCAACGGGTAGAATGCTGCGTGAGGAGTGTTTCTGAGTCAGCCAAGAAAAGTCCGCACAGAGAGACGCAGAGAGACGCGCACGCACACGCACACGCACACGCACACGCACACGCGCACGCGCACGCCCACGCACGCGCACGCACACGCACGCGCACGCGCACGCGCACGCGCACGCGCACGCGCACGCGCACGCGCACGCGCACGCGCACACACACACACACACACACACACACCCGCACACGCAAACACACAAACACACACCACGCGCGACTAGGACGTCTAAAACTCGAGTTTTAAGCAAACAAAAATGTAATGTTATCAAACGGATTGGGTGAGTTTCAACGATGAACAACCTCATTTCGCGTGGCAGGCGCGGTACTTCCAGCATATGCCTCTCTAAACCCTTGTGCGGTTTACCCCCCGTGGGGATGTATATCAGTTTTGTATATATAGCGTTTAGGGTTAGGGTTTCAGGACCTTAATCACGGCTAGCAATGCTTTTGTCGGTTTCGGGTTTTGGTTTTAAGGCTTGCAGGATTTAAGGTGCGGGCGTTTAGCACCTAGGGTTTACCGCGCCTTTCTAAATAAGGCTACCATGCACCCTGGGGTTAAGGGTTTAGGCTTTAGGCTTAGGGTCGAGGGCTTAGGGCTTAGAGCCGAGGGTTGAGGATTGGGGGTTTAGGGTGTCGATGGTTTAGGTTGTTTTCCCTAAACCCTAAACCCTAAACCCTAAACCCTAAACCCTAAACCCTAAACCCTAAACCCTAAACCCTAAACCCTAAACCCTAAACATTGCGTTTAGGGTTCAGGGCTTAGGGTTTCGCAGGGTGCCACCCAGGTGGCCTGCAGCGGGTGCGGATGCCAACCAACTGGAGCATGTACGCTCCTGGGCCTATGGCTGGGGTTTAGGGTTTAGGGTTTAGGGTTTAGGGTTTAGGGTTTAGGGTTTTGGGCTTTAGGCTTTAGGGTTTAGGGTTTAGGGTTTAGGGTTTAGGGTTTAGGGTTTAGGGTTTAGGGTTTAGGGTTGGCTGGGCAAAGCTTTCGAGGCATCTAGACCGCACAGCTTCTTGACCCAAAACTCAAAACCCAAACCCAAAAGAAAAGAAAAAAAAAAACTAAACCCTAAACCCAAAAGACCCAAAAAGCCCTAAACTCTAAACCCTAAACCCTCGGCAGCTTAGGCAACTTCGAGGCGTTAGCGTGAGGGTTTCGGTTTTGGCATTCCACGTGGGTGTCTCAGGCCTCGGAGCTTGGGATCTTCCCTAAACCCTAAACCCGAAACCCTAAACCCTAAACCCTAAACCCTTATACTAACTAGGACTGGGAGTCGGCCCTTTTTTCCTTTTTTTAGGGTTGGGGTTTAGGGTTTAGGGTTTAGGGTTTAGGGTTTAGGGTTTAGGGTTTAGGGTTTAGGGTTTAGGGTTTAGGGTTTAGGGTTTAGGGTTTAGGGTTTAGGGTTTAGGGTTTAGGGTGTAGGGTGTAGGGTGTAGGGTTTAGGGGTTCCCCTAGAACCCCCTTAAAAGCAAAAAGGGCACCCTTGTTATTCCTAGGTTACTCCCGGGTCTTGCTAACAGTCCTTACTAGGGATTCTAGTGCCCCTCTAGTATAACAATAGGGGTTATAGCATCCCTTATGAAAATAATAGGGATTACAGTACCCTCCATGACAATCCCTTACTTTTGGCATAAAGGGGAACATCTGAATTTAGAGCTTTCATTTGGGCATGTTGCTTCTCGGAATCTGCTTCGAGGATTCGAATATGAAGCCCCAAGGTGAGCCCCAAGTGTATGAGGGGGGGGGAGGTGTACGCGATGGTCCTGGGTTTAGGGTTTTAGGGTGTAGGGTGTAGGGTTTAGGGTTTGTGGTGCCTATTCCAAAACACCCAAAGCCCTGGGTTTAGGGTTTTAGGGTGTAGGGTGTAGGGTTTAGGGTTTAGGGTTTGTGGTTCCTATTCCAAAACACCCAAAGCGAAGGCATGAGTCAGAGAGCTATCTCTATGCATGCTCTCCAACCGGTGTCTCAGGATTGCGTGTTCTACTGCCAGCCGTGCTGGGAGGCAGGGTCGAGGGAAACGGTGGGCTCAGGGTTTAGGGTTTGGGGTTCATCTTTATCAGTATCAGATGATGATGACTGCTCTTGTTATTCCGCGATCACTTGGGATGTTCCCCCGTATACTAACAGTCCTTAATAGGGATTCTGGTACCCCTTATTATCCCTATGAAGGACTGTTAGTATAATCCGCTCCCCCTAATATTAATACCCCCCTAATATAAAGAACTCCCTGGCCCAATATCCCGATCCCGTGCCTGTCCCTATTAAAACCTCTACAGAGAGAGGGGGGAGTTAGGGGGGGGCGGGGTTGGAAGCCGGAAGCAGAAACATGAACCTTTTCCAAACGTAGCTGTCTAGGCTTAGGCTGGGCTGCTGAGCCAGCGTGCTACAATAAGGACGGGCTGGTTTTTCGGACAAACGATGAGAACCCCCCCTAATACAAAAAACCCTTTGGGGGTTTTTATACAAGGGAGGGGGGGGGGGCCTTTAATATTAGGGGGAACGGATTAAGGGGCAACATCCCAAACTTTCGCTTTAAGCCGTTGCGGCCGCAAGCGGCGTCATCGCCACGCTCCAGACAACCCGGAACCCTCAACCCCAAACCCTAAACCCCAAACCCCCTTGCAACACCACCAAAAGTACAGAATTGCAGTTGCCCTACACCCGTAACAGACCCAGGACACTTCTCCAGGTACCCAGAACTTGCCCTAAACCCTAAACCCTAAACCCTAAACCCTAAACCCTAAACTCTCCTGCAGCAGAAAGGCCCCTTGCGACCCCCCCTAACAGCCCCCAACCGCATGGAGCTGCTTCGCGCCGCAGGCATTCAGATGCAGCCTGTGCGGTCACAAGGATGCAGGGCTACTCCTTGGGTTTAGGGTTTAGGGTTTAGGGTTTAGGGTTCAGGGTTCAGGGTTCAGGGTTCAGGGTTCAGGGTTTCTAGGATGGGGGCTTGGGGCCTGCTTGGGGGCTCTTAAACTTGGGCTTATTGCACATCATGTGCCCTGGGATTTCGGGACTCAGGATGAAGGGTTTAAGGTTCAGGGGTTCAGGGTTTCGGGTTTAAGGTTCGGGGCTTCACGGTTGCATGGTTTCTCTGTTTTTTTTTGTGGTTTGCACGGGCCCCTGGGTTTCTACAGGGCTTTTGGCGTTTGCAGGGTCTTTAGGGTTTTGAGGGGCTTTTGGGGTTTAGGTATAGGTTCCTTAAGGGAGGGGCGAGGTAAGCTTAGGGAGCCTTGGGGAGTAGCGGGGCGTCCGTACTAGGCAAACCTTGGGTTACATACCCCCCTTGAAACCCCCTCCCTTAAGAAACCTAAACCACCCTAAACCCTAAACCCTATAAATGACGGGCTTTTCAATTCTTGGGTTTAAAGGGCTCTCAGGGCTTGGGTCTCGGTGAGCTCGCGGGGGCATGGGGGTGTGTTTTTTCCGCCACCGGTCCCTGAACCCGGCGGCCCTGCGGGGTTTAGGGTTTAGGAGGGTTTGGGGTTTAGGGCTTGGGGTTTAGGGTTTAGGGTTTAGGGTTTGGAGTTTAGGGTTTGGAGTTTAGGGTTTAGGGTTTAGGGTTTAGGGAACCTCGAGCCCTCTTCATTGAATCAAGCCCGAGGACCCCAAGGGCAACGACTTCAAGGGCAGCTGGAACTGCCGCGCTTGTCGCCACAAGAGACAGGTTAAGGAGTCTGGGTTTAGGGTTTAGGGTTTAGGGTTTAGGGTTTAGGGTTTAGGGTTTAGGATTTAGGGTTTAGGGTTTAGGGTTTAGGGTTTAGGAGTCTGTTTTTTTGGGAATTCGTGGTTCCGGGTTTAGGGGTTGGGGGTTTAGGGGTTTAGGGTTTGGGGTTTAGGGTCTTGGGTTTTGAGGGTTTGGGTTTTGGTGGATGGCCCCACTTGCTAGACCTGTAGATCTCGGGTTTAGGGTTTAGGGTTTAGGGTTTAGGGTTTAGGGTTTAGGGTGTTGTGTCGACCCATGCTGCGTTCGCGACTCCTCGCGTGTTTGCATTGTGGATCTTATGGCTTCACGACTGATTCACTATAGGAGTCATGTTCAGGGATTCTGGGTTTACCCAAAGAGCCCAATATAGCTTAATTAAGGAATATACCTTAAATCATATTAAGGATCCCTATATGATTTAAGGAATATTCCTTAATTAAGCAATATTGGACTCTTTGGGTAGGGCTTAGGGTCTAGGGTTTATGGGGCTGTCTTCGCAAGGAGAAGAACGTGCCCTCGCATGATCTTCTGCAGCGGCTCATCATCGAAGAGAGTGCCGAGCTAGTTTGCCGCTCGACCCTTCCATGGTTCTGCAGTTTGGGGTGTTTTTTTGGCAGCTTCAGGCTACTCAGAGTTTTAAGGGTTAGTGAGAGGTGCTTGCAGGTTCTTTTCGATGCTTGGGTTGGGCTCTCGAGATATTTGGATTTTCCCCTAGAGGCCCGAGCGTAGGAGGCTCATGTTGAAGTATGTGTTTAATTGGTCAACCCAGGTTTTGCAGCAGCTACAATCAGGTATTCTCACCCACCCGCACCAAGCTCCTTGGCCCTACCTCCCCGCAACAAGCCTCCAAGCCCTGAACCCTCATACTCTCAAACTCCTCCACTTCTTTCAGCTGTTCAGATAGGGTCCAGTGCATGGACCGATCAAGCTTCAGCACGAGAGGTGATCCGCGAGGAGGGTTCGGAGTTTGGGGTCAAGGGTGCAAACTACCTTCAGTGACATTTGGGTTTAGGGCATAGGATTTAAGGAGTCTTTTGTGTGATGTACGCGGACCTTGGTATTAGCCAAACCTGCGTGCCCAGATGCTCGGAGTCAGCATGAATGCCTGATTATCCTACAAGCTCTCAATCCTAAGCCCAGAATCCCCAAACATGCGGCAGAATCTACGACGGCTCTTCTCACCGGGCCTTGGTGATGTATTGAACCCTAAACCCTACCCCCCCCCCCACCCGCCCAACCCTAAATCCTAGACCCTAACTCCCCAACTTTGGCAATTCAGAGCCTCAGAAGTCGCGAACAGCCGTGAGGCACTACTTCAACGTGCCCGAGTTCTTTGAACAAGGGGAAGTCGGACGAAGTGCACTCCTCAACCTCGGATTTAGAGGGTTTAGAGGGCTTTATAGGGCTTAGAGGGTTTTTTAGGGTTTCGTAATTGTCGGGTTTTAGAGGGTTTTACAGGGTTTACAGGGTTTTATAAGGTTTGTCGGGTTCATGTCAGGGTTTAGGGTTTAGGGTTCAGAAAGGCCTGTGAGTCTGAGAGATGTAATGATTCTAATGGAAGGCGGCGGTTGTGACCTGTGGAGGGAACCCAAAACCCTAAAAACTCCAAGGGCTCGGCTCTTTGAGTTGGAGAAGCGTTCTACCCACAACCCTAAACCCTAAACCCTAAACCCAAAACCCAAAACCCAAAACCCAAAACCCTAACCCTAAACCCTGGATCTTGTGCATGAGGCTGTGAAGCTGCTAAGCCAGCTGACGACGGACAAGGACGAGGATCCTGAAGCCAGCGATGAGGACACCTGGGCGGATGCCGACGTGGTGGGCCGCTTTTCTGCAGGTCGTAGGGATTTTCGGGTTTAGGGTTTAGGGTTTTAGGGTTTAGGGTTTAGGGTTCAGGGTTTAGGGTTTAGGGTTTAGGGTTGGTTCCCTAACCCTCGACCCCTGGCCCCTTACATACACTGGGTGTAGTTTAGGCTTGAGGCTTGACGGCTTCCTTTGTAGTAACCCTGTTCAAAATATTCGGGCTACTTAAGGGGTACATCCCCCCCCTCCGCCCCCCTGCCCCTCCCTAAACCCAGCCCTAATAACTATAAACCTTAAACTAAGTGAGGGGTCGCTCCTGCGAGCGACAGACCCCGAACGCTCGGCCGAGGGCCTTCCATCCTGAGCGCCCATACGAAAAGAGAGACGGAAAGGTGAGGGTTAAGCCTCACCGCCTGTCCTGGTCAGGCCAACGGATATTGGCCTTCTTTACGACAACGTCATTACTCGAACAAGGGATGGCCGTATCCATAGCTAAAGTGTAACCCCAAACCGTGAACCATTTGCTCTGGAGACCTGTTTGGGGGTTCCGCCCCTGTGGTGCAGGGTGTCGGGGAAGTGTCCGGGGGCGTCGGGGCCCTGCGACTCCCAGCAGTCCCAGGCGCGGGCCTCCGAGGCAGGCCTGCCAGATAAACCCTTTCACACACAGAGCTGTCTCGGAGCCGCCTCCCAAATGGCCTGCCCACAGCTTGCGGTGTCTCGACCCTTCCAGCAGCAAGTCTTGGCAAAACCATCGATTCTTAGAGGGGTGGGTGTCAAGGGCCTTCCGCAGCTGCCAAGTTGTAGAAATAAGGGCCTCTACCCCGACCGTGCCGAAGGCCCGAAAAGGTTCGAGGCTACCCCGAACCGCAGCTTAAGCCCTGGCCCTGCAACTTCAAAAGTAAAATATGCATTGGCAACAGAGTCAAAGGGTTTGCCTGACCTTCAAGTAAATAAGGGCCTCTACGGGCCCTGACACGCCGAAGGCCCGAAAAGGGCCGAGGCTACCCCCAACCCCGGCTTAACCCCTAACACCGCAACCTAAAAAAATTGACACAAGCATCGGTGCACAAGAAAGTAAAGTCAATAAACCCTAATAGAGTATAGTTTGGGTGGCCGGGGTGGGTTGACGGGCAACGCGAGCGCGCGGCCCGGGGTGTTTCACACCCGAGGGCGCGCCCTCCCCTGACACACCCTAAACCCTAAACCCGAAACCCTAAACCCGAAACCCTAAACCCTAAACCCTAGGCCCTAAACCCTACTATCAGACCCGAAGGTTGAATTCTTCATCCCACATGGAATTGTGCCGCTGGTGGAGATAGGGTTTAGGGAACAGCCCTAAACCCTACCCCCCCTCAGAGAGCCCAATACCCCTGAATTGAGGAATATACCTTAATTCAGGCATATACCTTAAATGATGTAGGGATCATGAAAATATGGGTTAAAGCATATTCCTTACTTAAAGAATATTGGGCTCTTTGCCCCCCCCCCAACCCCCACGCTCAACGAATTACACCCCACCCCCACGCTCAACTACTCTGCCAAAGCACGGCCTTTTGAAAGGCGCGTCGTCTTTTGGCTTGGGGGGGTGGTTAGTGGTCGGCCGGAGGGTAGCATAGGATCCCATATGGTTACTGAGCTCCTTACAGCCCGTAACCCTTTTCAATCCTTGTCTAAGCCCAAACCCCCTACGCCCGAAGAGCTGTCTAAACCCTAAACCCTCAAACCCCTAAACCCTAAACCCTCAACCCTAAAAGACCAAGCACCAGGCGAGCTCCCTGCCCTTCTTGGCAAAGCTCGCGCCGGCGCGAAGCAGAAGCCCGACACTAGCAGGCACTGAAAATAGCTAGGACGATAGGGATCATGTGGGCTAGAAGGTGGAGTTCTTGAATCCCTAAACCCTAAACACTAAAGCCTGTGTAACCCTAAGCCTTAACGCCTTAAACCCTAGCCCCCAAACCCTAATCCCAAACCTTAAAACCCTAGACTCTGCAAACCTTCTGCAGCCGAACCTTTCATTCTATGGTGCAGGTAGATGCGGGCCGACTTGGCCCGCACCCAGCTTGGCTCGGGTTGAAGGTCTGTAAGGTTCAGGGTTCAAGGCCATGTTGAAGGCGTGGGCTTCGGGGCCTTCGCATTTTGGGCCTTAGGGCTTGAGGGACGTAAGCCCTAAAACCTGGAACGCTTAACCCTTAACCCTTAAACCCTTTAACCCTTAAACCGAACCCTTAAGCCCTTAAGCCCTTAAACGCTTCAACCCTTAAACCCTAAACCCTAAACCCCTTGGGGGGCTCAGGCGACTCAGGAGTTTGGGGATTTTGTAGGCGCCTGCCCTCTCTCTGGTCTGTCGCCGACATGTCCTCAAAGCTTCCCAAAGAGCGCAATATTGCTCGATTAAGGAATATTCCTTGAATCATATAGGGATCCTTAATATGATTTAAGGTACATTCCTTAATTAAGGTATATTGGGCCCTTTGGGTTTGCCTATGTCCTAGGTGGCCCCCTTTGTCTTAGGGGGCCTTATAACCCTATATCCCTTGGCCCTTCTTACCTCTAACCCTAAACCGTATAACCTTCTAACCCTCTCACTCTACAACACTGAAACCCTCCTTAAGCCTATTAGTAACCCTATAACCCTCCACCTCCCCCACAGAGGCCTCTTTCCTTGGGGTGTCGCATGTCAGAGAGCACTCTATCTCAGCACCCGAACCGCCGAGTGTCTACGTTCTGTTGGGTTACCCCGGGCTTAGGCTTGTTAGGCTTTAGGGGGTTCGGGGGTTTGGGGTTTAGGGGTTGGGGTTTAGGGTTTAGGGTTTAGGGTTTGGGGTTTGGGGTTTAGGGTTTAGGGTTTAGGGTGTAGGGTTTAGGGTTAGGGTTTGGGGTTTAGGGTTTAGGGTTTAGGGTTTAGGTTTAGGGCTCAAGAATCTCGATGTTGTGGTGCAGGGAGGCTTCGATCCTGAGGGTTTCGGGGGTGTATAGGGGCTTAGGGGGGGGTTTAGAGGTTTAGGGGGGTTTTGGGGTTTATGGGGGTTTAGGGTCTAGGATTTCAGGTTTAGGGTTTAGGGTTTAGGGTTGAGGGTTGAGGGTTTAGGGTTTAGGGTGCTTTCTGATCGGTCTCTGGACATTCGTAGGCCGCGACACATCATCCTGGTCATCGATGCTTCAGGGAGCATGCGCCAGCAGGACCTTGGGGAGGGGGGGGGGGTTAGGGCTTCGGGTTTAGGATTCACGGTTTAGGGTTTAGGGTTGCTAAACCCTAAACCCCAATCCCTAAACCCGAAACCCGAAACCCGAACCCTAGGTCCTAATCCAAGATCGAAAACCCAACCTTCCCAACCCAAAGCCCCGAACCCAGAACCAATCTTCCCAGTTGGTAAACTGGACCCCTTTGGGATCTGGTTTACCCTAAACCCTCAGCCTCAACCCTCAGTTTGGGATCTCTATCCTAGTACATTCCTGATCCTCTGGCGTACCAAATCTGGGCCTGCCCAAGAGTATGGATTTACCCTTCCCACCCATCCTGAAAGCTAAGCCCTAAACTGGGTTTGTTAGGTTTTTTTGCGTGTTTAGTGTGCATATCTTTGTCACAGTGGGGTAACTCTATAAGTCTATAAGGATACACATTTTCAATTTTAAAGTACTATACCCTAAACCCTAAACCCTAAACCCCACCATGAGCTAGTGATGATAATTTAAGGTTTCGGGTTTGCTTAGGGTTTAGAGCTTCAAGGCTCACGCTTATTTGGGGGGCTCTACGTCCTTCCGGTGCTTTAAGGGGTTGGGGTTTAGGGTTTAGGGTTTAGGGTTTAGGGTTTAGGGTTTAGGGTTTAGGGTTTAGGGTTTAGGGGTTTAGGGTCCCTTAAAGCCCCGAACGCCCTTGAGCAAGCCATTAAACACAAATAAAATCGCGGAAGCCCAAGCAGCAAACATAAACCTAAACCCGAAATCCCTGGAACCCAAGCGGCAAGAAGCCCTGACCTCAAACGGGTACTTCCCAAAACAGGGTACGCCTCGTATACCCCAAATAGAATGGAAACCCCTTAAAGGGATCCCCAAAAAGGACACCCTTATTGTGCCCTAAACCCTAAACCCTAAACCCTAAACCCCGAATTACTGGAGGATGTGGAGGTCGATGCAGAGACGAGGCGGGAGCTCGGCAGCCAATCTGCGTGCCTCACGAGGCCGAGCCAAGGTTTAGGGTTTAGGGTTTTGGGCTTAGGGTTTAGGGTTTGGGGTTTGGGGTTTAGGGTTTGGGTTTGGGGAGGATTTTTTTTTTTTTTTGGGGGGGGGGGGGGGGGGGGGGGGTTGTGGTGCCTACGCCTTAAACCCAAAACCCAAGAAACCCTAAACCCTACACCCTATTTAAACTTGCAAGGCCCACCGGCGCGCTTGGTACACAGCTAGCGGGTCCTGCGTCCGCAGTGATATTCAGAGTTTTACGCGTGTTTAAACGACGGCTTAGAGGGCTTTAGGGTTTAGGGTTTAGGGTTTAGGGTTTAGGCCCTAACCCCCAGACTAGACCCAATGAAAAAGCACTCAGCCAGCAAGCGGACGCAGTAGCAGCCTCATCTCCGGTTTGAGGGCTCCCCGGTGGGCGGTTTAAGGCTTAGGGCTTAGGGTTTAGGGTTTAGGGTTTAGGGTTTAGGGTTTAGGGTTTGGGGTTTGGGGTTTAGGGTTTAGGGTTTAGGGTTTAGGGTTTCCCTTTTTGGGGCGGTCCTAGGCTCCCTTTACAAAGCTACATAACATAATATGACAATGGGTGGCCTTCTTATTCCAGTCTGTGGGGGTCTTGAAACCCCGAACCCGACAGTGCACCCGAAACCCGCAAGCCTAAACCCTAAGCCTGAGAAGCCCTCAACCCTAAACCCCTAACCCTAAACCCTAAACCCTAAACCCTAAACCCTAAACCCTAAACCCTAAACCCTAAACCCTAAACCCAAACCCCAAAACCTAAACTCCAACCCTAAACCCTAAACCTCAAGCACAGCATTAAGGACAGTGTCAGGAAAGAAGGGTTCTTAGTTGGAGCACCTCAAGGCGTTTGCATTCGGGTCCTTGTTTCAAGGGCACCAAGGGTTCATAAGGTTCGAGGGGTAAGGGTTTCGAGTTGAGGGTCTAGGGTTTAGGGTATTTGGGTTTTGGGTTTGGGGTTTAGAGCTTTAGGGTTTAGGGTTTAGGGTTTAAGGTTTAGGGTTTAGGGCTAGCCTCTGACATCCCTGAGCGGCTGCCAGGCTGGAAGCGGCAGAGCTGTGCGCGGTGAAGTTTGCACGAGAGCATGCCAAAGCACCCTGCCTGGCCAATAGATGAACTTTGTTGGGTTTAGGGTTTAGGGTTTAGGGTTTCGTGTTTAGGGTTTAGGGTTTGGGGTTGACACCGTTTAACCTTTCTACTTCTTGGCTTCTTGGAGAAGTCAGGCACGCCCTCAAGACTTCTTCTCAGCTGCTTGGTAGCCGAGTGGTGCCCTTTTGGACCTTTTTGGCGTTCTGGGTTCCCCTGTCAAGTACTCGTAGCCCTAAACCCTGAACCCTGAACCCTGAACCCGAAACCCTAAACCCTAAACCCTAAACCCTAAACCCTAAACCCTAAACCCTAAACCCTAAACCCTAAACCCTAAACCCTAAACCCTAAACCCTAAACCCTAAACCATAAACCATAAACCCTAAACCCTAAACCCTAAACCCTAAACCCTAAACCCTAAACCCTAAACCCTAAACCCTAAACCCTAAACCCTAAACCCTAAACCCTAAACCCTAAACCCTAAACCCTAAACCCTAAACCCTAAACCCTAAACCCTAACCAACCCAAACACAAAAATGGTCGCTGGGCTCTGAAGGCTATTGCCTTTCACGAGACAGCCTCGACGGTTTCCAAGCGACTGGTGGCGGGTGACTTCGTGCAGATTTTCGGACTTGGCGACCGAGCGGCCAACGGCACTTTCTACCTACAAGGTTTGCAGGACTCAGTGGTATTTTGACGTTTTTTTGGGCTCAAGCTTGCCTTAGATACCCGACCCCCAAAAAGGTATCCTTACCAAGCATACCCAAAACCCCAAACCCTAGACCCTAAACCCTAAACCGGAAACCAAGACTCTACGGCGTTTTCCGTTTGATGCACATGGATAGCTGCCAATTACCAGGCTGCCTTGAGGTTTGCACGGGCAGCAACTGGAAATAGCTGGGCACTTTCACGGTAAGTATACTCGCACCAAGAGCAGGCCCTTGTTTCTCTCTTTAATGTTAAGCCACAACGGGCGCCCCTTTTATTTCCCGGTTCCTCCCCAAACAGCCCAATATTGCTTAATTAAGGAATATTCCTTAAATCATAAAGGGACATATTAATTCCTTAGTTAAGCTATATTGGCTCTTTGGGTCTGGGGTCTGGTATAGGAACTGGTTTGATGGAATGCAGGAAGCTTCCTCCGTGCTGAGCGAGTACCCGGACTTGCCAGGGGAGCTGGTGATCCTCTCGGACGGCCGGCCAGCTGATACCAAGGTGGCGCTCACCTTCTTCCAGGACCCAGAGAGCCCCTTCATACCCCCCTTACTTAAGGAATTTGCCTTAAGTTCTACAGGGATCCTTAGTATAATTTAAGTCATATTCCGTAGTATAATTTAAGGTGTATTCCTTAGTTAAGAGGTATTGGGCTCACATTCTTCCAGGACGGCGTTTAAAATGCGCAGCAACTTCTGGCAACTATCCCTGAGGAACAGGTGGCATGTGTGACTTCATGTTGGCTTCTGGGAAGTTGCACACCAGGATGGGCTACTGGGCCCTATAATCCCTATAATAAATCCTATAAAAGGCCCTTTTCAGGGGTTATAGGCATAGCACAAAATTCATACCCTGCAAAGGGCCTTTTTAAGGGGTCATAGGGCAGAATAGCCCCTTCCTGGACAACTTGAAGGAGACTTTTCTGCGCGGCCGGCACGCGGGGGTACATGCCCACGGCATCGGCTTTGGCACAACGGTCGAGAGCTTCGCAACTATATCCTCCTTGGGAATTAGTTTTGTGTTTTTGTTCATATAAACCCCAAGAGGATATTAAAAATCTATGATGTTTATTAAGGTTCTAAGGGGAGTATAGGCACCACTCCAACAGCTGGCATGCCTAAGCGGCGGAACCTTTGCACTCTCTGGAAGCACGATGCGGGGCTTGTGCCAGGCATTCTCGTCGCTCGGTTTAGGGTTTAGGGATTAGGGTTTAGGGTTGAGGGTTTAGGGTTTAGGGTTTAGGGTTTAGTGTGTTCTTGAGTCATTGTTGGGAGGTGTTTGGGTAGCCTTGCTAAAACATGGTTTGAAGACACGAAGGGCTTTAGAAAGGCAGGGGGCTGCGAACGAAGGTCCGTGTCGTCTACCATCACCTCGTCTCAGAGTGGCAACTGGGTCCTGGCGGACGATTCCGAACAAAAGGTGCAGCCACTTGGCATAGGCCTGGATCATGTAACTATTTAGGGTTTAGGGTTTAGGGTTTAGGGTTTAGGGTTTAGGGACGTTGCCCCCTTATACGAACAGTGCTTGATAGGGATTCTAATAGGGGGTACTATCATCCTTACTACTACGATTTGCGTAAGAACCCCCCAAAAAATGCAAAAGTAATAATCCCCACATTGCCCTTATCGAAGATTTTTTTTGTGGTGGGGGGGGGGGGTCGTAAGCAAATAGTAGACTAAGGACTGTTAGTATAAGGGGGAACATCCCAAGCAACTACCAAAGTACCGGCATTGGGGCTGCGCTGCTATAGTTGTTGTCGCAGCTGATGGGATGCTCTAAACACTTTAGGGTTTAGGGTTTTGGGTTTAGGGTTTCGGGTTTTGGGTTTCGGGTTTAGGGTTTAGGGTGTAGGGTTTAGGGTTTAGGGTGTAGGGTGAGAATGGGGCCGTGTTGTCCCCACCCCTCTGCTACGTTGTCTAAACCCGGAGCTCCAACGCCCTTTGCTGGCCAAAGGAAGGCCCTGAACATTGGATGAACCCAACGAGCCCAATATTGCTTAATTAAGGAATAGTCCTTAAATCATATAGGGATGCTTAATATGATTTAAGGTATATTCCTTAATTAAGGGATATTGGGCTCTTTGGGAAGCGTGCACCTGAATCCCTGAAACCCTCGAGCCCCAGAGCCCTGAACGCCTGGAGCGCTAGAGCCCTGAAACCCTAGATGCCCAGAGCCCTGAACGCTTAGAGCTACTGGCCCCAGAACCCCAAACCCTAACCCCTAAACCCTAAACACTCCGGGCTCAAGCACCTCAGAGCCTATAAGGCCCCGAGAACCCTTCAACCCGAGCCACGCCACCCCCCGCGAACCCTATAAGCCTATAAGCGTTATGCAACGTTATGGCATCCTTTTGGGGTTTAGGGTTTAGGGTTAGGATCTGTACTCGTACCTGCCAAAAACAAGACCCACAGTGAATGCCGGGCAGGGGCCGGGGTGAGCAGAAGGGGCAGTCAGTTGACCAAAAGCACCCTCAATAAACCCCAAAGTTCACCCTAAACCCTAAACCCTAAACCCTAAACCCTGAACCCTAAACCCTAAACCCTAAACCCTAAACCCTAAACCCTAAACCCTAAACCCTAAACCCTAAACGAACCTGAAAGCCGCGAAGGAAGCACAAACCGCAGCTTCGGGTCGTGGCCTTCGAGCTGCCAGAGCAGGGGACCTTTGCTTCAAGGGTTTTGGGTGTTTATGATTCGGGTTTAGGGTTTAGGGTTTAGGGTTTAGGGTTTAGGGTTTAGGGTTTAGGGTTTAGGGTTTAGGGTTTGGGGTTTAGGGTTTGGGGTTTGGGGTTTGGGGTTTGGGGTTCGGGGTTCGGGGTTCGGGGTTCGGGGTTCGGAGGTGGGAGTTTGGGGTTCGGAGGTTGGGGGTTTGGGGTTTAGGGTTTGGGTTCGGGGTTCGGGGTTCGGGGGTTTGGGGTTTATAGGGTTTAGGGTTTAGGGTTGCAGTGCGTCAGGGCTTTTGGGCTTTTAGGCTTTTGGGCTCCCGGGCTTTTTGGGCTTTGCCCCTGGCAGGGTTTGGGTATAGGGTTTAGGGTTTAGGGTTTAGGGTTTAGGGTTTAGGGTTTAGGGGGTTTGGGTATTGGATGTGGTAAGGGTTGTGGGTTCTGGTGTTTGACCAGGGATTGCGGGGGGCTGGTTGGGTCTTATACAGAACTGCCAATCGAGGAATTGTCCTTCTTCGTTGGGTATACTACTAAGCCAAACCTTAAAGCCTAAACCCTGAACCCTGAACCCTAAACCCTAAACCCTAAACCCTACTCCTATCAACCCCAAGCGCCCCAAAAGCTAATGACTTCCTCCGGGAGGATCTTCGGCAAAAAGAACGTGCTTCGGCTGAGAGCTGCGCGGACCCACTTCAGCTCCGCGGCTCGTGTTTTAGGGTTTTAGGGTTTTTGGGTTTCAGGGTTCTAGGGTTTCAGGGTTTGAGGGTTTGAGGGTTTTAGGGTTTTAGGGGTTTAGGGTTTTTTGGGTTTTTGGGTTTTATGGTTTTAGGGTTTTAGGGTTTTAGGGCTTTAGGGTTTTAGGGTTTTAGGGCTTTGCGGGTTTTAGGGTTTTAGGGTTTTAGGCTTTTTAGGGTTTTATTGTTTTAGGGTTGTAGGGTTTTAGGTTTTTGGTTTTAGGGTTTTAGGGGTACTTCAGCTCCGCGGCTCGTGTCTTCGGGGTCCAGGGCTTTAGGGTTGATGGGTTTTCTTGGTTTTTGGGTTTTAGGGTTTGTATTTTGGTTTTAGGGTTTTGGATTTTCGGTCTTTTTGGTTAAGGGTTTTAGGGCATTTAGGGTTTAGGGGCGTTTAGGGTTTCAGGGTTTAGGGTGTTTAGGGTGTTTAGGGTGTTTAGGGTGTTTAGGGTGTTTAGGGTGTTTAGGGTGTTTAGGGTGTTTAGGGTGTTTAGGGTGTTTAGGGTGTTTAGGGTTTCAGGTTTTATGGCCTTAAGGGTTCAGCTTTTAGGATTTTCGACCCCAAGCACAAGATCACCTTAGCCTTGGCAGCCCAGTGACACCCTTGTCCCTTTTTTGGGTTCTAGGGTCGCCCTATCCAGTAGCCAACACAAAAAGGGTGCCCTTATTATAATATGGTTGCTGGGCTACCAAGTACCCAAAGAGCCCAATATAGCTTGATTAAGGAATATGCCTTAAATCATATTAAGGATCCCAATATGATTTAAGGAGTATTCCTTAATTAAGCAATATTGGGCTCCTTGGGTAGCACTCTGGGAATTCCACACTGTGGGCAAAAAGAAGCTACTGGCGCCTTGCCAAATGCTGGAACCCCGGAACCCTTCCCGAGGTTGCAAGGTTTATTTAGGGTTTAGGGTCTAAGGTCTAGGGTTTAGGGGATGGAGTGGAGACCCCAGATCCTGCTAGAGCTCCAAACCCCCCTTGCAACCCTCTAACTCTCATACCCTCTAACCCTCAAAAACCCTAACTCTGAACTCTAAGCCCTAAGCCCTAAGCCCTAAACCTTAAACCCTAAACCCTAAACCCTAACCCTAAACCCTTTCCGAGGCTTCGATGGAGCGGAGTTTCAGCAGAAGAAGTTCCCAGCCGGGCCAGTGATGCGACGCCAGCTGCCTTACATGCGGGGCGGCATGCGCCTGGTGACTTCGCTGCCCTAAACCCTATAAACCTTATAAACCCTGAACCCTAAACCCTAAACCCTAAACCCTAAACCCTCAACCCTAAACCCTATAAACCCTAAGCCCTAAACCCTAAAGGGCTTTAAGGGGTCTAGGGTGTGCTTTGTTTCATAAACCCGAACCTTGTACATGTTTGTGTGTAACTATAGGGTTAGGGGTCATCCCTGTCCCTAAACCCTAAACCCGAAACCCCAAACCCTAAACCCTAAACCCTGAACCCTAAACCCTAAACCCTAAACCCATTGAACCCCTATAGGGTTTAGGGGTCATCCTTGTCTTCTAACCCCCACACCGATTCTGTGAGGTGTACAGCTTCCAGGACGACTGCGTGTCCAAGGAGGGTAGCTGGATCCTTGGAGACTGTATGGGCCCTAAGAGGTTCAAATGGGTTTAGGGTTTAGGGTTTAGGGTTTAGGGTTTAGGGGTTCGGGTTTAGGTTTCAGAGTTTGAGGGTTGAGGGTTTAGGGTTTTCGGGGTTATCACTTAGGGTACCTGAAGGTTTTAAATATTAGGGGGAAGGTTTCGAGGTCCATAAACCCGGATTAGAGCAAGACCGAGCAGTACGAT